AGCAAGGCTGTGTCTCAGCTCCTGCCCCGCTAAAATATTTATCTTCAAACTCTACGTTTCTTTTGCATTTGATGAGACTTATGCTTACGGTGTTCGTGTGGAGCACCACATTGATGGTGGGTTGCTGAACAGCCGTCGTTCCGGTGCGAGAACCCTAGCCTGTGCGACAACTATCAGTTGGTTGTGGTTCGCTGACGACTGCGAGTTGTTTACACACAGTGCGTAGAGTTGCAGCACATAAGTGCAAATTTTGCCGATTGTTTGCATCCATAGTGAAACTGGATTGCTCTCTACAACCGTGATTTGCATCCGCAAGCCAATTGAATATCCTGTTTAACGCATTTGAATTGCATCCAATACCAGTTCGATGCACCAAGCGCGTGCAGTGGCCTTGGAATTGAGCTAGGCCAAAGCAACCAATGAGTGTACGAGTTGGTGGTGTGGCTGGGGACGCGTGGTCAAATGGGATTTATCCCTTAACGCCAGTAAATACCAGCTGCCGAATTACAGCAGTGATGGGATTACGGTGCAGACTTCTACTTGGTCCCTGACATCGCAGCCTGTTGATAAAGCACGGGACCTAGGTGTTATTATTACGAATAAATTCAAACCCTCAGCAAAATGTTAGCATGTTGCCTTCGACGCGCGGCAGGAACTCTCTCGCCTCAGCAGGACCTTGTGTAACACTAGATCGGAGGTATTTCTACCATTATATAAAGCGGTGGTACGACCCCACTTGGAATACTGTGTCCTAGCATGCGCGCCGGATCTCCGAAAGGATGTTATTTGTATAGAGAAGGTACATGCGTCAGAATGATTGAGGGCCAACGTGATAAGCGGTATGATGAACGTCTAAAGAGCTTGGGACTGTTTTCCATGGAAAGGCGTAGATTGAGAGGTGATCTAATGGAACTGTTTCGAGTCATGGAGTGCCTCAGTGGCATCAACCCTACCGACCAGAGCACCTGAGAGGTCATCATCTTAAACTCAGGCATCGAAGGTCTGGACTAGATATCAAGGGGAAATAGTTCGCGAACCGCTTTGTAGGCAGCTGGAGCAATCTTCCCCTTCGTTGATGAACTGTACAACGGTTGACGCCTTCAAGAGAGGTCTAGACAGAGTTAAGTAGAACCTATCCCAGAAATATTGTAAAATTATTGATGCTCGTTGCAGAGAAGTCATGAAGGATGAAGGTACACGATTGTTTCTTTCTCCTTCGTTTTCTTGGAAGAAGCAAGAAATGCAGTTGGAAGTCGAAGTACCGGGAGCCCTTTGTTGCTTGCCGGTGCAAGAAGCAGGACGCTGGTTAGGCAGAAGCCCATACAGTTCTGGGAACCCGACCTAACCTGAAGTGACCGGTACTAGTCTCCATCCAGCAACGGTGCCTAAGCTGAAGCTATTCCCACGCGGCTTACGGACACAAGGTTGTCCAAACGCGTGGTACGACTGGATGGAGGGTTCACTGTGCGTAAATGGACTACCAGGTATGCAAAGCGTACCTTGCGAAAGGCAAAAGTTGGGGATGGGAGCTACGGACAAGGTAATGTGACACTGCATTACCGATCTTATTGCCAGTTTGGCACTGGCGCAGCCCAAGATTTTGGACGACCTACCAACGCTCGGGTATACGACGGTACTTTATCCGGATGGCTAGGCAGTCCCAGGTGCGTGGGTGCGTATGACGGGAGCGGTAGGACGGCATGCGAGTAGAGCGACAAAAGGCGCCTGCGCAACCGAAATACCGGCTGGAAGGTGGCCATCTTGGGTTATAGAACGTAAGGGCAACTGACACTCAAGTCAGTGAGCAGCAACTGAATTCCTATCCCGTACACAGTTTTGTGGTATGTTCACACATGGGAGCCAATCCATCATTGCTCGGCATCTTTGTCTGTCCTTTTCACCGCCTCTTCTCCAGCAAAGGTACTTGGTCGATACAGCCGATACATCTCAGCTGCTTCCTACGGTAGTTGTATCTGCAAAGCCCACAATTCCGTGAGGTCGATAACACTCAAGTTCATACCTAACGGTCTGTGAACACGTAGTGCACAATCGCACATGGCAGTACATAGGTTGATAACGGGTCAAGTATACAACGCTGGACATGTCCCGTAGGATGGCCATAGTGAAGAGAGAAGACTTAAATAATGGATGTACCAATAAAATGGAGTGTGACATGATAATTTAGCATTTGCATGGTAACTGGTATACGCCCAGTTAGTTGCAACTAATCGCTCGCCATAATTTGTATCTTTGGCCCGAAGTGGGAAATTCGCAAACATAATTTATATACATGAACCACTTTATAAACCCAACCAAGAACATTAGAGTACCAAGATCGTCGGATGACACTGTTGGGAGCACCTACCAGTGCTCGGGCAGGTTTGTTGTGTCCGGATCTCAAGACCGTCACAGGCGTATGATTTACGAATGGAACAGTGGTTTATTACGGGTAAAAATGCATCTCTTAACAAGTCCCGTGGGATGGAAATTATTACGAAAATCAATTGCATAATAAAGTGAAAAGCGTTGTGGTGGACTCACCATTGACTTATGTGGAATAGCGGAGATGTTCGCGTTTTAAACGTATAAATCCATAAATCCATTGGTTAGGCGTTTGGCAAGACACCGTTTGATTGCGTTTTGTAGCCCCTGGCTAACAAGTCATAATATGAAATGTAAGTGAGACAATGCATCGTCAACACGTTTTTTAAATATCGCCAGATTGGGAGCAGAGACGACATAATTAGTGAGGACGTTCCAAGGCTGGCACACGCGGAGGGAAAATAATTTCTACGGCATTCAAGCCGGCTATAATGAATTGTCAGTTTCAGAGGATGACCTCTTAGTTTAGTGTTGTGGTTAAATTCTAGCAGCGGACGGCCAATGTGGTTTGGGTTCTTCAGAATCTGGGGTGACAAATTTTTACAGCGTGCGTGTGAACAAAACGATCTAAGTGGCTTGCTCAACTTGTCACTGAACTCTGGATTCTCGGTGGGTCCCCTTGGTTAAGACAGACACATTTTGCTCGGCGCTCCATTGAGAGCGCTAATACCAATTACGACAGCAGCAATTTTGTTGCATGGGGCGTAGGCACTGTTTTTCTTACAACAGGCGTCACTTACTGTTATGCTATTATTGAGCTCATGTAAGTAGATTGTGATAAGGCGACAGAATATCGCCCTGAAAGGCTCCCTATTTGGTGGTTAGTGTTTAGGAGCATTGACTCGTGTACTCTGGGTGCGTGTGGTAAAATGACCACTTAGCAAACCCATTATGGAGGGATTTCTTCTTTGAATGAGTAGACCTTTCTACAGAGTTTCTTAGTTTACACAGCAGAATGCGTTGTTATATTCAAGAAAAGACTATCGTGTTGATCTGTTTCTTATATCAAGTAATGATGGTATAGAAGGTAGGAGGTGGGCCATTGCATCTACGGTAGATCTAGAAATACAATAAGTGTTTTTAAGGGGTCTTTCGAGCGGGTTTGAGACAGCATTATTTCAAGAATACTTTTCTCTTGAGGCTTCTGGGCAACAGAAGAGCATGCGATAGGTCGATCTTTGTTGGACCCTTTTCTTGTTACCGATGCGATTCTGCCGTTCCCACGAAGAGACTAGATGTACACTTGATGGAGACGTGTAACTCTTTCTTGGTTCGAACAGTGAGAGACCTCACTGAGATGCCGTCTTTTTCTTCAAACGCACTCTCCTTAAGTCGACCCAGCCTCTTCAGATCGGGGAAGCGAACCTGTCCGCAAGGACGTAGAGAGATTTTCAAGGAGAGTGTATGTCAAAACAGTAATTTAGATAGTTAGTCAGGTTGTCACAATACTCGGACATGTCAGAGTCAAAGGGTACACAAACGTATGTGGATGAAGCCATTCCACTAGGTCGATCGATATTTGAAGAGTCCTGCCTCTACGTGAACCTACTTACACCAGCTCAATAATAGCCCCCCACAGAAGCAACTCTAATATAATATGCTGACATTGTCCTGGGTATCAACCATGAAAACGCCGATTGCTCTATCAGATACGAACATCATCTGAGCGACCGCAATATTTGGTCCAAAGCTCGTCATCTGTTTCTTAATGTAGCGATGCGTTATAATATGCTTTTTCGCTACGCATAAGAGACAGTTACGAGCAGGTCCCTACACAGTGCTCCAAGCAGCTTAGTGACAGTGATGGATTTCACTCTGCTACATCACTGAAATACCTAGGTATGATACTTTTAGTTCTTCCAGAGAACTGACTGACAAACCTTGAGTACGCGGAGGACATAGCCCCCTTTGGGTCTGACCCAGGGACTACGTAAGAAAAAGGAATCAGCTAGCGTGTAACGCTGCACGTTTCGGCATGTGACTTACACTTTGGAAGTGCAAAGTGTTGTGACAGCATTGGTCCGATCAGCCACCTGTGCTGGCTGTCCTTATAAAGGGGGAACTTCAGGGGACATCTGTAGGATACTAAACAAAGAAATAATAAAGGGGTTTTACTAGAAGGGTACAACGGTCCGTTCAACACTAGTGCATTTGAGTGACTCACTTCCCACAAATAGGAGGACATGGGGCATGAAATCGACTTGCATTATTTCGAAATCTTTAGGAAGGTTTTGCCATCCGTACTTCAAAGACTGACTGCTGAGGCGTCGTAAATGGCCAAAGCCAAGGGATGCGTAGACAGAGTAGATGTCTGGTTATCGGGTGTGGCGAGCTGTCTCGACCGACCAGTCAGACGGGCATTGGCGGACTGACAGGGGGCAGAGCGCCAACATCAAAGCACTCTTACTGACGTAGCAGACAGAGGTTTTGTGTAATGAGTTCGTGCAATGAGGCACCTGGGATATTACCATCTCTAATGTGCCACTTACAATAACACTTTAAAATGTAAGGTGGTTAACATCCTGCCGCTATCTCGATAACTGCAATTCCTTTTCCCCTCGTTTGCTTGGTCTGAAGAAGCTTTCGTCTCGAAAGCAAAAACTTGGTCTCTAACTAATAGAAAGGTAAGCGGAGCCAATGTCCAGACACTGGGTCACGCACGGGCTTACCGCGGAGCACGTGAGTTGTCTGCTGCACGCGAAGGTCACATACACGAGCGGGGGACGACCTTCGACCGTTTTGCCAAATTTGGGAAGCGGGTGCAAACCGATTGGCCAGCAATTACAAGCCGGAATCAAGGGAGGAGAACCATTCTGCCAAATTTGGAAAATCCGTGCGACAGAACCAACCCACATTGGCTGAGAGCCAGACGTTTCCAAAACTAGTATGTTTCGTTCACCAATAAATAGAACTGCCCTGTCGTGTAGAATAGACTCCCTGTTTACCGAGCCTTGGTCTTCTGTATCCCGTCAGTTGGTTGGGCGCGTGATTGAGCAATCAGGCGGTCGTAGTCTCGCAGGCGCAGACTAGCAGCAGTGCAGCAGGACGAAGGCAGCTTTACAACAGTGGCGACAGGAGTCAAAGGAACCCAAAGATGTCAGTCAGTTTTGAGCAATTGCAGTATCTGTTGCAGCAACAGCAGGCGCAGTTTGAGAAAGCACAGGCCAAGCTGATCGAAACGCTGACCAAGAATTTGTCACTACAGGCAGGCTCGGTAACAGGAACAAGTGAACGTTGTCCCTCAGCAGAAACCTTGACCCAGCAAGTTTGTGAATTCCGTTACGATGCTGATGCCGGTATTACTTTTGAATCGTGGTTCCATAAATACGAAGACCTGTTTCGCGTTGATTTAGCCGGTGCTTCAGAGGACAAGAGAGTACGCCTCATGCTGCGGAAATTGGGTGCGGCCGAGCACGAAAAGTTTATGAATTTCATCTTGCCGAAAAAGAGCACTGATTTAACATTCGATGAAGCGGTTGCTACCTTGTCCCAGATATTTGGAGAGCAGTCGTCATTATTCAATATCCGATACAAGTGCCTGACAATGACCAAGCGAGACGACGAAGACTGGGTTACTTACTCGAGTCGCGTAAATCGTGAGTGTGAACGGTCGCTGTTTCACAAGATGACAGCTGATCAGTACAAGTGCCTTATTTATGTGTGTGGTCTTCAAGCAACCAAAGATGCGGATGCCCGAACAAGAGTGCTGAGCAGAATTGAACAAAATCCCGAGATCACACTGCAAGAAGTGACGAACGAATGCCAGCGGTTGATGAACTTGAAGCATGATGCTGCGATGATCCAACAGTCCTCTATCCAGAGTAGTCAGGACATCATTTGCAGGGTCAGCAGAAGTCCTCAGAAAGAATCGGTCCATGTGAGTCCACCACATTCTAAACCCTCTTCTGCTTGTTGGTTCTGCAGGGAATGGCACTTTGGTCGAAACTGCCCGTTCCGAAATCACATTTGCAATCGTTGTGGTAAGCGGGGACACAAAGAGTCGTGTTGTCTTGCGAAGCGACCAACAATGAGCGGAATACGGCGTCGAATCCCAGTGCGCTTCCGATGTCACAACGAGGCCAAAACCGTGACGGCGACTTTCAAGGTTGACAGTGTCGGCAGGCGTAAGTTTACAAATTTGAAGATCAACGATAAGGAAGTTAAGCTGCAGTTGGATACTGCGTCAGACATCACTTTGATTTGTCGAGACACATGGTGTATGCTGGGACGACCACCGCTTGTCCACACAGACCACACAGCACGAAACGCATCCGGCGGTATTTTGAAACTTCTCGGAGAGTTGCATTGTCAGGTCAGTTTCCGTGATCAGCACATCCGTACAACCTGTTTTGTGACAGATCAACCAGGATTGAATTTGCTGGGTCTGGATTGGATGGAGGAATTGAAATTACTTGACCAGTCAGTTAACAGTATATGCCAGAAATTACAAGTTGAGAAACCCGCAGAGACGCAGAATATGAGCCTCGAACTTTACAGTCAAATTGCAGAACTGAAGCGACGCCACGAAAGTTTGTTCCAACCCGGTCTTGGATGCTGCCGGATAGCCAGAGCTGAGCTGAACCTCAAACCAGACGCCAGACCAGTCTTTAGACCAAAACGTCCAGTGCCGTACGCAACACAACCAATAGTGGAGTCCGAGTTAAATAGGTTGCAGTCGGAAGGCATAATCGAGCGCGTACATTACTCCGAATGGGCGGCACCCATCGTTGTGATAAAGAAAGGAAACGGCAAGGTACGTATTTGTGCTGACTTTTCAACTGGCTTAAATTCCATGTTGGAGAACCACCAGTACCCTTTGCCTATACCTGAAGATTTGTTCACCAAGCTTAACGGTGGAAAATGGTTTGCGAAACTCGATCTAGCTGACGCTTACTTACAAGTTCCAGTAGCCGAGAACTGCAGAACTCTATTGACGGTCAATACGCATCTGGGTCTTTTCCAGTACAATCGCTTGCCATTCGGAGTCAAAACTGCTCCCGCCATTTTTCAACAAATCATGGATACGCTGCTGAACGATATCCCTGGGGTCGCAGTATACCTAGATGACGCATTGATTATGGGGTCTGACCCGCAAGCGTTGCTGGCCACGTTAGAGAAAGTGCTCACTCGTCTAGAAGAAGCTGGTTTCCGGTTACGAGCGGAAAAATGCAATTTCCTGATGGAAAGTGTCAAATTTCTCGGGTTCATCATTGACAAACATGGCAGACGTCCGGATCCCGCTAACATAGAAGCCGTCAAGCAAATGCCACCACCAAGGGATGTTGCCGAACTTCGTTCGTTTCTCGGTCTTATAAGTCATTATAGTGCGTTCCTGCCAAGTCTACATCAGACTAGAGGTCCTCTGAACGAGTTGCTGATGAAAGAGAAAGAATGGCGATGGACAAAGGAGTGCCAACAATCCTTTGATACAGTCAAAACAGCGCTCAGTTCTGATTTACTTTTGACCCACTTCAACCCAAACTTGGAGATTGTTGTTGCTTCGGACGCCTCCAGTTATGGGGTAGGTGCTGTCATTTCTCATGTGTTCCCTGGAGGAGAAGAGAAGGCCATTGCGCACGCAGCACGGTCGCTGACAGTGGCGGAGAAAAATTACAGCCAGATTGAGAAGGAAGCGTTGGCGATTGTTTTCGCAGTGAAACGGTTTCATAAGATGCTATATGGTAGACATTTCAAACTGATCACGGACCACAAACCTCTACTTTCGATATTTGGATCAAAGAAAGGTATTCCTGTTTTCACAGCAAGTCGCTTACAGAGATGGGCAACAGTACTGCTGGCTTACGACTTCAGTATACAATATCGATCTACACAACAACTCGGCCAAGCTGACGCTCTATCTCGCCTCCTCGGTTCTCACTTGAAGGAAAACGAAGACTGCGTGATTGCATCTGTCAAATTCGAGTCGGAAGTTCAGCGCATCCTGGTTGACAATGTAAGGGAGTTGCCAGTAACGTCGGACACGATTCGTGCAGAGACGGCTCGAGACGATATTTTGCTGAAAGTGATCGGGTTTGTGCAGTCCAGTTGGCCTAATGTCAGAAATTCGAATGAGTTACAACCTTTCTTTAACCGACGCGGATCCCTTTCGGTCGTTGACAGTTGTCTAATGTTTGGAGACCGAGTTGTGGTACCAAGGAAGTTGCGGAAGCGAATACTACAGCAGTTTCATTCAGGTCATCCGGGAACCAGCCGAATGAAGGCACTGGCGCGAAGTTTTGTGTATTGGCCTCAAATGGATGCAGAGATCGAGCAGTTCTGCCAAAGTTGTGAATCTTGTCAACAAGCGGCAAAGGCACCTCCGAGATGTTCGTGGCACCCTTGGCCCGAGTCGGAAAAGCCCTGGCAGAGAATCCACTTGGATTATGCGGGACCAATCAACGGTCAATCTTATTTGATTTTTGTTGATTCCTACACAAAATGGCCCGACGTCATTCCGATGCAAAATCCTACCGCCCAGCACACTATCAATGAGCTGAACAAACTGTTCCAGTATTTTGGCACCCCGGAGATGCTGGTCACAGACAACGGAGCCCAGTTCACCTCAACGCTGTTCAGAGAATTTTGCATGCAAAACGGAATCCAGCACAAGTTTTCGCCACCGTACCATCCACAATCGAATGGGCAAGCCGAACGGTTTGTAGATACCTTTAAACGTGCTCTTCTCAAAGCGGAAGGAACGAGGGTGTCAAGAGATGCAATTCAGCCGTTTTTGAGAATGTATCGAAACACTCCGAATCCAAACACACCGGAGGGTAAATCTCCTTCTGAATGTCTATTTGGACGAAAAATTAGAACGACGTTTGATAGCCTGATTCCCAGAAATGTTGAAAAGCGAAACGGACAACCGAGAAGGGGGCAGAATAACAGGCTTCGTACGTTCAAGATTGGCGACTTGGTGTATGCACGAAATTTCCAGACCCCGGAAAGATGGGTTAGTGGAACGGTTAGTGGAAAGAGGGGTAAAGTTATTTATGAGATAATGGTCGGAAAGGACAAGTGGACCAGACATATCAATCATCTGCGACAGCGGCATGGCAAAACTCAAAGAGATCAAGAACCAGCGGCACCACAGTGGGACATACTACTGGATACATTTGGTTTAGAAAACAGAACTGATCCCCAAAGCGGAACACAGCCGGTCGCACAGACGCCACACGACGTGACATGCCGGCCAAGTCGAAGAAGAAGGCAACCGCGATGGCTACAAGTGGATCCCAGGGTGAAAAGCTACGACCAAGCCCAAGTGCGGAAGATAGGTAGGAGCAATCAATTCAAAGGGGGAGGTAATAGAAAGGTAAGCGGAGCCAATGTCCAGACACTGGGTCACGCACGGGCTTACCGCGGAGCACGTGAGTTGTCTGCTGCACGCGAAGGTCACATACACGAGCGGGGGACGACCTTCGACCGTTTTGCCAAATTTGGGAAGCGGGTGCAAACCGATTGGCCAGCAATTACAAGCCGGAATCAAGGGAGGAGAACCATTCTGCCAAATTTGGAAAATCCGTGCGACAGAACCAACCCACATTGGCTGAGAGCCAGACGTTTCCAAAACTAGTATGTTTCGTTCACCAATAAATAGAACTGCCCTGTCGTGTAGAATAGACTCCCTGTTTACCGAGCCTTGGTCTTCTGTATCCCGTCAGTTGGTTGGGCGCGTGATTGAGCAATCAGGCGGTCGTAGTCTCGCAGGCGCAGACTAGCAGCAGTGCAGCAGGACGAAGGCAGCTTTACAACACTAACTACACTATGAACAAGTTTGTTTGGTTTGGTCACCTTTTCAAAAATCAGTACTTTGTTTTATTTTCCAAAGGTTGGCCATTTCTGACAAAATATCTTTGCGGGAGTTGAGGATGGTGAGAAAGTGACTTCAAGCTACCGGCGATTTACCATGAGCCATTTCATCACCTTGTAAAATACCTGGGGTCGAGCACAGTAAACGATTGTGATATGTACCGTAACCTCACTAACGAGTTCGGTCTGTTTGTGTCATTAATGCGTACCAATCAGGATGATACTCGCGCTTGCACGGGGGCTGCGAAACTCCGCAGTTTGAAAGCCACCCAGTCAACTAGTTTACCGTCCCCTAGGATATCGTACAGACTAGCAATTGAGGACCAATGCTATCTCATTAACCCGCTCCATATTGGTTGCAGTGCTGTACTGCACATAGAATGACGGCCAGTTCCGCTGCACATAACGCTTCTGGGCTTAAACACGGGAGACCATCTTCCAATCCGCATTGCACTCTCAATTTGCGCAGGACCCTGAAGTCACTTTACTCACAAGAACGTCAGAACATTATACCACTATAGTTCTCCATCAATCGTAATCGTTTATCTGTTAGCGTCGATATCCGGATACACCGATCTTGTACACTCGTGTTCCCCTTTGGTAGTCGTCGTTATCCTTAACCTGGAGAACTTGCAAGCACGATGCGGTCGTAAGGTATACCATTATGCGTCCGTATACACAAGCGAAAGTGCGCCGTCTGGTTACGTCAAAAATTCAGTGCCAACAGGTACGTTTGAATTCACATGGTACAGTACTCTCAGTATACTCACATGTTTGCAGCATGGATGTGGTGTCAATGTATGTACCCTGAGTCGCGCTTACACTCAAAACTGTACTGTCACCAGAAATACCACTTACATAAGGTATTGCAACGAACTTCAAGGTTCCGGGGTTATAATGATGGTGAATATCGGACAGCTTTGACAGTTGGGGTAGGAGAGCCTGGTTTAAATCGAAGAAACTCAACTTTGCGAGGAATAGCTGACATAGATGGGCGTCAAAATTGTTGTTACAGTAGCTGTGACCGAGCTGATTGTCAGTCGGTACTGTGTTTCACTCCAGTGGCTTGATCCATGGGGTGATCACCCTTGTAAGGCTGAGTATAGCGGTGAGGTTGAATCCAGAAGCACGCTTAGGTGCACGAAACGGTTGTATCAATGGATCAATGGATTTATCACAGGTAAAAGAGCAGATCTTCACAATTCCCGCAAACAAAGAGTGAAACAGAATGTGAACGTAGCAACAAAAACAAAAGTGGCACAAATCGGTGAAGTCACCGAAGTTTAACTGGTGTACGTAGTTTGGTTATGTCCTAGTGTGTCTCAGTGACATTGGTCAAGCCTCGTAGTGCATGTGTTGTAATGTTTCATCAAGTTGCGTTTCGAATACAGTCAATGCAAAAGCGCAACTTACGGAAATCGGGAGTGTTCCACCACTGGGACACACGAAGTGAGAAAGACGCCGGCGGCATTCCAACTGGCTTTACTGTCTGGCTAACTTCAAGTGATGGCCGCGAAGGGAGGAGTTGTGACCTAATGTCAGTAAGTACCGACATGCGTGGTTTTGATCATTTAGGATCTGAAACACCAAAATAAGATCACCGCGCAGGCGATGAGATGAACCACCGAAAATTCCCAGGGTCTGTAGTCTTTGCTGGTAAGGGAGACGAGTCAGGCCCTTCACATTTGTTGTTGCTGTACTTTGTGGAATTGCAAGGGCAGCAAGATCATGGTTTTGTTAGGAGTGCCAGACCTGGATGGTATATTCAACATGTGACCTTAAGTAAGCGTTGAGCATTTGTGAGATGATAGAGGGATCAAACCGGCCAAACGCTCTCCGTAAGACCTTACCGCTCTTGAACTGGCACAACGAAGGGCGACCATGGAAGTAAAAGACCTGTTTCCTCTCCATTACCGGTTGAGGCTAAAACCCTCGGCGTCTACAGTGGACAATATCGATGCCTGTGTGTCGATTTGATAATGACTTATATGATCCTAAGGAATCCAAACCATACTTGTAGTCACCTACTAAAACTGAGTCGCAATACCACACTCAGAGGACACCATCTAAAGCTGGCCGCACAATACAGCCGGTTGGAATGTCGCCGGAATTTCTTTTCCCCTCATGTGTGCCAACACTGGAACGCTCTTCCCACATATGTTGTTCCTTCCTCGAAGCTAACGGTATTCAAAAGACGTCTGGATGGTTCGCTCATCCACTTACACTACGCTATGTAATCAGTGATGTGTACGCCAAACAAAAGCGAACCCACGGTGCTCATTTTCGGCTTTTGTGCTTTACTACTTACACGCTGCTGCTGTGGACCATCGTTCGAGCATACTACAACTGCATTCATCAATTACCTCAGTCGGAGGAAGTGGCGTACTAGTGAGCGTTGCCTTTTCTTTTGTTCTTAAGACATATCTTCCCCATATTACTTTCCGATATTACTCTACAATAACAATTCAATAAGCATTCTAAAATGTTTGCGTGAAGCAGGGTATCTGAATCGCTAGACGCTTAACTTGACGATCTACACTTATGTTTGCTTTCACTTCAACCATCCTACGGGACTTGTAAAGCAATCGCTTTTTTACCTGTAATATATCATTGTTCATTTTGTTTTTCATTGACGGAGGTCTCTGGCGAAAAGGCACATTGTTTGCCTGGTAGAGTGCGCATCGTAGGAACCCATGGTCACTTTGCAAACACCCCACCTGCGATTGAATACTGAGTTGATGCTTGAGGTGAAGATTAGCACCATAGCGCGACACTTGGACGGGAGGCTGATAACAATGAAGTAATTGCACGCAGTTCTGGAATCCGCGAACACATAAAAGAAGAAAGTCGACGAAAATGTTATGTTTACAGCACAGTAGTAGGTGACTTAAGGTAGGAATTCATAACAACTAGACTCACTCTGACAAGCATCTCACGCACGGAAAGGCACTTCGCAGCAGTTTCATTCGTTCGGGAATCGTAGCTCAGTGGTCTTAACCACGGACTGTTAACAGTCGAGTTGCGGGTTCGAGCACTACAATGGTCAGGTGAAATGCGCACTGCTGACACTTCCCGACAATTCTATGTCTAGGCACTGCTGTAGTCGGAGCTTGAAGGGAGACGAGCGGTGTTGATTGATGAAATAAATTGCGATCACGTTTGCGCTCGCATTAGAAGTCGCTCACCTCGTGCAAGTCGTGCGTTATGTCAAGTGCCCAACGCTCAAGGACGGAACGTTCCTCTTATTAGAGCCCTGACGACCGGTGGATTGAAAGAGTATACTATCGTGTGAGGAAGTTACAACAAAGTCGTGCGCAGTGGCTGCGTGAACAGTTGGATGCCAGGGGTTCGACTTTTGTCGAAAACTGCCTCCTAATCTGCGATAACTCGCCATGCCACACGAATCTGGAACGTGTAGGCAAGGAGCAGTGATACTGTTCGGGCAGTCTCCTGCGCCTTCCTCTATATTCGCTATTACTCAATACAATTTGGAGCATTTGGAACATTATAAAATCATATGTGAAGCAAACAATGAGGCAGCGGTATGAGGCAGAGATTTCCCGAGCTGCTTCAGCGAGATCCTAGTATGTATTTTCCAAGACCGAGTGGAGAATGTGTTTCATGAAGCGAACTGTATCAGAGGCACGAGCGTGCTTGACGTTGCAGCACTGCCAGCATATGATAGGTCATGTAAAGAGGAATTAAGCTCGTGCAATCCGTTGTACTGATTTGTAAAATGCTCCCATTTTGTTGATATAAATGTAGCTAACTTGAACTTGTGTTGTCAATGCTATGCATCGCAAAGCCATCGATTCGATATGCAGGTGTGAAGGATGGTGTTCAGGCTAAGTGCTGTCGCAGAGAGTTCCTGTATGTTTCCGCGTTAAGCGTTGTGAGACAACCACAGTGTATCCAGATGATTCTTAGTAATCAAGACTATATTGCTGCTAATGATGAGAGGCCATGCTTTGTAACGTACTGTAGTGTCGCGAGATGATAGTAGTGGTTGGTATCATGAAGAGGAATACCGTGCGCAGAAAAGGAAGAGTCATTCTGTTGATCGTTAGGTTAAGCGTTATTGCGGGAATCTCGAACTTGCATAATGCAGTAGGTTACCTATGTCCGCATGAGGACAGACACTGTGATGTACGGCAGGACAACGCGCCCCATGTAAGTCACTGATCCATCTCGGGACAAAAAATAGATTTTTTCGCTTATTGTCAAGCATTTTAGAGGGCTATGTGCTCGACTGCGTTCGCTTCAGTGCTTCAGTTGTGCCAATGTATGCGGTGCACCATGAGTCGTCCGCTAATTTCTACTGGTACAGCGTTTAGAGAATACGAACCATTCCAGCGATCAAACTAGATGTCATTGAGATCGCCAACACATTAACCACCCATTCACCCCTCTAATGCAAGCACCTTATTGCAAGTGCAGTGCTTCACCTTTACTTTGGGCTGGATGGTATGGGGTACTGCGTTCGGCTCACTGTGCACAGATCTTTCGCTACATACACGCCTGAAAATAAGAACGTAGCAGCCGTAACAAGGCATTGGCCCTCTCTGCAGAGTGCCGCCTATGATGTTTTTCTCTTACCCAATAGTAACTATCAATCCATTTCAGTGGCAAGTTGCGCACGCTACTTAGATCGCTTTGTTAACAAGCACGCTGTAAAAGTTTGTCACCCCAGATCCCGATAATTCGCAAGTCATACACCTGTGACGGTCTTGAGATCCGGACACAACAAACCTGCCCGAGCACTGGTAAGTGCTCCCAACTGTGTCATCCGACGATCTTGGTACTCTGATGTTCTTGGTTGGGATTATAAAATGGTTCGTGTTTAAAATTATGCTTGCGAATTTCCCATTGCGTGCCAAAGATGCAAATTGTGGCGAGCGATTAGTTGCAACTAACTGGGCGTATACCAGTTACCATGCAAATGCT